TCAAAGGGAAGCATGCGAACTGCCTCCCATCAGCCATGGCTAGTTCTTAGCTTCTGATAACATTCGTAGGGGAATCCAGTCTTGGGAAAACTGCTTGCCTGGAGCCACGTGCAAGGCCCCTTCCCGTCCATGTTCTCACTCAGTTGGAGGGGGCTTCTGTCCCCTTCATAACCAAGAGCAACTGAGTTTAGAGGAGAAGTGTTGTGTGCAAGGTCACACGATGCCTAGGGGGCATCTGTGAAATGCGGACCCAAGACCAAACTTCCAGATCCTCATCTCAGACTCTTCCACCTCCACCTCTTCCGCCCCCACAACCTGCTAACTAGTTCCAGAAGGACAGATCCGTGCTTCTCAAAACTCTTGCGTAGACCCTACCCAATTCCAGACGGGTTTCTTTAAGACATATTTGCACCCAAGCTTTTCGCATTCGACTCTGGTTCCCGGCCCCAGCCCCGGCCCCAGGCCCGGCCCCATCTTGGGGTGGGGGGCATCTGACTCTACCCCTTCTTCCCCAACAGTTTGAACTAGGGGAGGAAAGGGGGATGAGAAAAGAAAAAAAATGTTGGTGAGAGTCAAAGGCTTGCTAACGTTGTAAGTTTAATATTGTTTTATTTGGGGTGGGGGGGTGAGGAATCTTTGCCCTTGCCATTTTGGGGGAGGAGCTGTGGAAGACCCCAGGAAGTTGCGCTTTCCCTCGGATTTTGGGAAAGGGGAGCATTCCTGGGGTCCTTTTGAAAAGGCCCTCCCCTCATTTCCGGCCGCCGCTGCCAGCCTTGGCTGGGCGCCTGGATCCTGTTGCTATGACGACAGGAAGAGGCGGTGGCGGCGGCAAGCGATGCTGAAGAGAGATGGAGGCTAGTGGGGGTGGGGGTGGTGGCATTGGAATGGGGGAGGGGGAAGGGATGGGGCTGGGGACGCGGGAGGGGGCGGGGGGATCCTTCATCTCTGACCTCCGCGGGGCATCTCAGCCTGACCCCTCTCCCGCTGTTTATTCCGGGCTTCCTTCGGGTGCCTCCCCGGTCTGTGTCTGCCTCTGTTTCTCTGGGTCTCTCTTCCTGTGTCAGTCCCTCTCCGTCTGTCTCTGGGTCTCCCTCCTCTTCTCCTGCACCTGCCTTTCTTTCCCCAGGTACCTTCTGCCATCCAGACCCTTCTACCCTCAATTTCTCTCATTTACTCTCTTGCTCCCCGCTCCCTCTCTGCACCTTTTTCTCGCTTTAAAGCTTCCTTCTCTCTACCAAGACCTTGCCCCCATCCCCAATTTCTCTCCCTCCCGGCTCTCCATTTCCTACCCTCTCCCCCACCATCCTCTCAGTCTCTCTCTTTCTGTCTGTCTCTCCCCATCTGTCCCTCCTCCCCCCTCTCTGGATGACTCTCTCCCTCTCCCTTCTTTCCTTCTGTTTCCCAGATCCTGACCCCCCCCCTTACCCCAGCCCTCCCTCATCCTCCTCCCCCCAGCCCCTGGGTTTCTCTCTTTGGGTCGCAGGCCCTGTCCCCTTCTCTCTCTGGATATTTCTCTGTGTATGTCTCTCCAACTTCCTTCTGCTCCCAGCCGCTACCTCCCCCAAATTTCTCCCTCCCCCATTTCTGTTTCGCGGTCTCTGGGTCTCTCTCTTTCCGTTTCTCCTGGTCTCTCTCTGTCTCTCTCCCTCCCTCTCTGGATCTGTCTCTCCCTTCTTCTCTGGCTTCCTTTTGCCATTCGACCCTGCCCCCCTCTTTCCCTTCCCCCATCCATCTCCTCTCCCAGGCTCCCCCATCCCTCAGCAGCTCCCCTCCCCCTCCCTCCCTACTCCCTCCCTCTCGTCCTCCAGCTCCGCACTTTACCCAGCGACACGAGAACCAAATTGTCTCCTCACCTTTTTTTTAAATATATATATATATATATTATATATCCCGACCCTCACTCCCTTGGGGCCCAGGCTCAGAGCTGCCCCTCAGCCCCCGCGGGGCCTCAGCACCCCCATTCCCCATACGCCTCCTCATCTCCACCCCCCCCAACCAGGTTGGACGCCTGGGTCCCTCACTGCTGGGGGAGGGGGAAGCAGCGAGAGTTGGGAGCCAAAAGGGCTTTTCTGGGGGGGGTGCCAACAGGGGGGGGCTTGAAGTCCCCTCCCCCGAACATCGGAGAGTTGACCTATCGTTAACAGAGGTGAGACAGATCTTTTTATTAATCGGAGGTGGGTGGAAGTAGAATTAATGTTCTGTGTCCCCCCCCCCAGTTCTGGAGAAAAGAGCTGGTCCCCTTCAGAAGGAGAAAGGACAGTGACCCCCTCAGATCCGGAAGCTTTAGAATTGGGGGTCCCCTGCTCTCTTCTCCCTTGCAGCTGCTGAGCAATGGACTAAAGGAAGAGTCCCTAAAACCAGATTGACCCCCAAATTGACAATATGGAAAGATCTTCAAATCTTTTTTTTTTTTTTGGACGGAGGGAGAATTTCCCTCCTTTCCCTCCTCTTATCCCAGGTTGTTAGGGGCCTGGGTCACAGGCTCAGCCCCATTGAAAGCAGAGATCTATTAGGACAGGGCAGGTGGCTGTGCTGGTGGTGAGGGGCACCAATTCGGGAGAACAGGCCAAGAGGTCAAGAAGAGAGGAAACTCAGCATGTGGACAGAAAGGAGAGGAAGGGGCCCGCGCCGAGGCTGGGAGGCTGGGGGCTGCTGGGTCCAGCGGGCTGCTGAACTGTGGCCCGAGGAAGGGCTGTGTGTGGGCAGACGCGAGTTGAGGTGGGGGAGGGAACACAACGTGTGGGGCACTAGGCCCAGTTGCCATGGAGACACCCCCCATAGACAACCTCTTTCCACAGCCCCTCCAGGGAGCAGCCCCGGTCTGAGGCCAGCTGATGAGGGGCAGTGGAGACTGGGAAGCTACCAGGAGGCCAAGGTCACCCCGTATTGGGACCTAGCTCCTTCTTTTTCTTCTTCTTCTTCTTTTTTTTTTAATTTCCCCTTCCTCTGAGGTTTCCAGGCTCTTAACTATAGTGGGTTTGGGGAAAGAAGTTGAGGAAGCAGTGGTGGAAGCAAGTAAGGAATACACGCCCCGAGGCCAGCTGGGGTGAGGGGGACGGAGAGGGCTGGGGCAGGAGGGTCAGGGAGAATGTGGAGGAGAGAAAGGAAAGAACTAGGGGGCAGCGGGTGCAGAGTGGGAAAGTATTCCTCATTTAAAAGAGAGCTGGAGTCTTGTGGATCACATTTTTCGGAGGGACACAGTCTCTTGGGGGGCTCTTTCTGCATGTGGAGGAAGGTGAGGGGCTACAGTGTGTGTTCCTGTACAGGTGACATCGCAGAGGGGAGTACTGGGGGGTGTTCCCAAGGAGGGAAGCCAGTGGGGGCCTGCAGAGGAGATTTTCCTGGGCAGAGGAGAGGCTGGGAGCTGTAGCGGTAGGGCAGGAGGAAGTGAGTCAAGGGAATTCTACATGATGGGTGAGAAGTTGGGGAGGATGCCTCCTTGTACGTTGAGGATAGAGTGGGTTTTGAAGTGAGCTGGAGGGGTCTGGAGTTGGGGGAACCTGTGTGCTGAAGATGCCACGTAATGATGAAGGGTGACGAGGAGGGGATTTGGGGGCAGTGGGAGATGCCGTGAGTGCAGAGGGCCCGTGGGTGGAAGCTGGGCAGAGTGGAGGTACAGCGTGCTCCCTGCTGCGGGGGTCCAGGGCAGAGACTGGAACGCTCCTGAGTGGAGAGAAATGTGGGGTCTGGAGGAAGCCATTCTTCGAGTAGAAGAGTAGAAAATGCCGTGGGACTCATGGAGGAAATTTTTCTTAATGGAGGAGAAAACGCTGGTTATGATATGAGTTCGTTTAAGTTGTAGCGGGGGGGAAGATTCGGAAGACTCTTCTAAGCGAGAGAGAGAGTGGAGTTTTTCCTGGAGTAAAGACATAGTATGGGATGGGGGGGTGAATGGATTGTGGGGAGACACTGGGGGCTGTGAGAGGGAATGGGTTGGAGATGGGGGGGCATCTTGAAACCAGTGGGTCTGGCGTTGGGTGCATGAGAATTCCCCAGGGAGCTTTCCAAAAACTTAGACACTCAGGCCACACTGCAGCCCAGTGAGGTCGGACTTTCTCAGGTGGGGCGCAAACATCCGAATCTGTGAAGGTCCTCGGGCGATTTCAAGGTGTGTCGGAGGCTGCCGAGGCGGGAAGGGGCTTCCAGGCAGAGGAGATTGACTGAGGGTGTCTGCTTACTCTGAGTTGCACAAACTGTGAGGGGCAGCTGGGATTTTTTTTTTTTTTTTCTCTCCTGCTCCTTTTAAGTTTTCCTTTTTAGTTGAAGACTTTCTTTTTCCTAAGGAGAAGAAATCGTAGGGGAGCATTAGGAGTGACTGAATGACAGAACCCAGAGCGGAGGGGGCCCGCGGAGGTTATTCTCATGGAGGTGGTGCTACTGCGGATTCTTAAGTTGTGGAGACGCTCTGGGGGAAGAAGCTGGGGAGACAGGAAGGGGTTCTAGCAGGTGGAGAGGTGGGGCTTGCAGGGGAAGAGTGGGGAGAACTGGTGCGGCCGAATGGTGATGGGGTGGGGGTCTCGAAGGAAGGAAGAATGCACAGGGGCTCCTGGGGAGGAGGAGGCCTGGGGCTTGGCGTCGTGGGGTGGCTTCCCAGGCGATCAGGACCGTGGAGCTCACCCAGGAGCAGCCAGCGGGGGCTGGGGGCGAGGGCTGCGGGTGTGAGCGGTGGTGGGGACTTCTCCGAGTGGGGTTAGTGGGATGACTTTGTTTGGTAGAAGACAAAAGTGGAGAGTTTTTTTTTTTTTTTTTTTTTTTTTTTGAGAAAGGAAAGCAGTGGAGACCCGAGTGGAAGGAGTTTCTGGAGCTGAGGCAGGGATTTCGGGGGGGCGGGGACTGGGGGAGGTACCTGTGCCTTCTCCTCTAATCCGAGATCTCGCTCCTTGCCCTCCACCAGCCGCCCACCATGGCCGGGCTCTGACCCCTTCCCCAGCCGCAGTCTCCTCGCCGCCCCCTCCCCCGCCCCGCCGGCCCCCGGCCCCCCGCTTCTGCCTGCGCTGTGACCCCCCCCAGCCGCCGGCACGGCCCCGCCCCCGCTGCCCCGGTGGTGGCCCACGGCCCCCCGGCTACCCGTGGTCAAACTGGAGTCGCTGAAACGCTGGAACGAAGAGCGGGGCGTCTGGTGCGAGAAGGGGGTGCAGGTGCTGCTGACCACGGTGGGCGCCTTCGCCGCCTTCGGCCTCATGACCATCGCCATCAGCACCGACTACTGGCTCTACACGCGCGCGCTCATCTGCAACACCACCAACCTCACGGCCGGCGACGACGCGACCCCCCACCGCGGGGCCGGGGGCGCCTCCGAGAAGAAGGACCCCGGCGGCCTCACGCACTCGGGGCTCTGGAGGATCTGCTGCTTGGAAGGTAGGGTGCGGGCGGCCCTGCCCGCAGCCCCCGCCGCTCCCCTCTCGGAGACCCTGGGCCTCCCGGGGCTGCCTCTCCCTGATCCTGGGGCCCCCATGGGCACCCTTCCTCCTCTGTCTGAGGGGCTTCTGCGCCTTCCCACGAGCGCCCTGACCCTCCCTTCTTTCCTCCCCACTCTGGACCCCCTGCGGAATTCCTCTACCCGGTCGCCCTGCCTCCCCGCTGACCCCTTGTTCTGTCTTTCCCTGCGTGCCCATCACACCTCTCCCTTCTTCCCTCTCTCCAGCACCTGGGGCTCCTCCTGTTTCATTTCCTCCAGCTGCCCTGTGCCTTTTCCCCTCCCTGCCCCCTTTTTTTCAAGACAAGGTCTCATTCTGTCGCCCAGGCTGGAGTACAGTGGCACAATCGCAGCTCACTGCAGCCTCCACCCCCTGGGTTCAAGCCATCCTCCCACCTCTGCCTCCTGAGTAGCTGGGGCCACAGGCATAAGCCACTGTGCCCAGCTAATTTTTTTCATTATTTGTAGAGATGAGGTCTCCCTGTGTTGCCCAGGCTGGTCTCCAGCTCCTTGGCTCAAGAGAGCCTCCTACCTCAGCCTCCAAAGTGCTGGGATGCACCCGGCAGCCTCTTCTTCCCTCTCCCCTCAGTTCATCTTGACCCGCTCCTCCATTCCACCTGCCCCTTCATTTCCTCTGCCTGGTGCCCATGGCGTCTTCGCTCTCCCGACATTCCACCCCAGTCCTCTGAATTCTCCTACCTCTCCTGCCGCATCCATGGCCCAGTGTCCAGGTCTCCATCTCTTTCCCCTTCTATTTGGCTGCTGCTGTCCTAAAATTTCCTGCCTTATTTCACTATCACTTGTGACCTGCTCTCTTTTCTACCTGTGATTCTCCTCCTGTGGATCTTCCTCTCCCCATCAGTGCCCTTGCCCTGTCTCTGCCACCAGGATGCCCTCCAACCTCCCACCCCGATCCTTTTAGTGGGCTCCACTGCCTTTTCCTCTGCTCGTGCCTTCTTTCATGTCCTCCTGACTCCGTGCCTCGCAGTTACTTTAAGTCTCCTGGCTCCTGACCCTGCTGCCTCCTCGAATCTCTGCCTTGGTTCTTTTCCTCTTTGTCTAGTTCTCCCTCTCACAGCTTCTCTCCTAGCTCGGCTCCCTGGCTCTTCTCCAAGACTCTTGCCCTCTCCTGCACCAACCCCTTCTCTCTCCCACTCTTAGCATCAGTATTTCTTTCCTGAGTGTCATGGAGTTGCGGGGCTGGGAAGCAGGAGTCCTGGGTGCCAGTCCTACTGCATATCTGCCCCCACCCTGTGTGACCACTATCTTCCCCCTGCACCCCAGCCTCACAGCCCTTGTCTGCAACATGAAGGAGTGGAACCAGCCATCCTGAGGCCCCCTTCGGCCAAATGGTTGAAGTCTCTTGCTTCTCTTTTTCACCCCCCTCTATTTCATCTGTCCCTTCTTCCTCTGTTTTGCTGAGTGCTCATGACAAGCCAGGAATGTTATTTAATCCTATGAAGTGGGGACCACCTCCCTGTTGGGGATGGGTAAACTGAGGCGCAGAGAGGTGAAGCCACTTGCCCAAGGTCACCCAGCTGAGAAAAGGGCAGAGCCAAGAGCAGAACTCCAGTCCCATGGATGGGATCCGCAGATGCGCTCTGCCTAGTGTACAAAGTGTTTAAAACTGAAAGCAAAATCTGAATCCACTGCCAACAGTTAAAAATAGGGAAGTCTTCCCATTGTAGTTGCAATTTCCGGCTGCTTCTGAGCCATCGGAAGATCTAACGCAAGCCTGCGTTCTGCCCTGACCACGATGGGCCAGATCTGAGCAGCAGCTGGGGGCCTCCGCTTCCCCCACAGTCACCTCCATCCACTCCATTGCCTCCCATTCCTCCCATGGTTCTCGTGATGCTATTTTCCTCTCCTGTGGAAGTTCGAGTTCATGTCCATTCACTGGCCTGACCAAGCCCCAGGCACAGAGCCAAGTATGAGGGCTCACATCATGAAACCCTTGGGGTAACTCGTGGCATCTAGTAAGGAGGCCATTCATTCATTCATTCATTCAACATCCCATTTGTATTGAGTTTATACTATGTGCCCAAGCCTCGTTCTGGATTCTGGGGCACAGCAGTGGAAAACAGACACAAACCCCTCTCCTTATATATCTTATATTCTAGAGGGAGAGACAGATAATAATGGAGGTAAATCAAGTCAACATTTAGGATGTTAGGTACAACTGAGTGCTAAGGAGGAAAAGGAGTCGGGGGGATGGGAGGTGTCAGGGTTCCCCGTGGGAAGTAGATAAGGAATCTAGGGAAAGCTCCCCTGAGCAGGTGACATTTGAATGCAGGTCTGAAGGAAGTGAGAGATGGAGGCTGTGGCTCTCTGGAGGAAAGTGCTTCAGACTGTAGGAATAGCAGGTGCAGAGTCCCTGAGGTGGGAGGGAGTGTGCCTGTGTGTTGACCAAGCCAGTGGGAGGTCAGTGTGACCCAGCCGAGTGGGTGGCGGGAGGTACAGCAGTCGTAGGGGTCACAGGATCCCCATCCCACAGGTTCTGTATTATTATTGCCACTATTTGAGACAGTCTCACTCTGTAGACCAAGCTGTAGTGCAGTGGCGCGATCTCAGCTCACTGCAACCTGCGCCTTGTGGCTCAAGCGATTCTCGTGCCTCAGCCTCCCGAGTAGCTGGGACTCCAGGTACGCACCACCACACCCAGATAATTTTTTCAATTTTAGTAGAGACGAGGTTTTACCTTCCACTGCGTTGCCCAGGGTGGGCTGGAACTCCTGAGCTCAGGCGATCTGCCCGCCTCAGCCTCCCAAAGTGCTGGGATTACAGGTGTGAGCCACCATGCCCGGCCTTTTAAAAATTATTTTATTTATTTATTTAGAGATAGAGTCTTGCTTTGTCACCTAAGCTGGAGTTCAATGGCACGATCTCGGCTCACTGCAACCTCGGCCTCCCGAGTTGAAGCGATTCTCACACCTCAGCCTCCCGAGTAGTTGGAATCACAGGTGTGCTCCACCATGCCTAGTTAATTTTTGTTAATTTTTAAAATTAGAGACGGGGTTTCACCATGTTGACCGGGATGGTCTTGAATTTCTGACCTCAAGTGATTGGCCCGCCTAGGCCTCCCGAACTGCTGGGATACGGGCGCTTGGCCAGGTTCTGTTTTTTGTTTGTTTGTTTTAGGGTTTTGCTCTGTCACCCAGGCTGGAGTGCGGGGGTAAGACCATAGCTCACGGCAGCCTTGAACTCCTGAACGCAAGCCATCCTCCTGGATTCAGCCTCCCAAATAGCTGGAACTACAAGCACATGCCACTGTTTTTTGTAGACACAGGGTCTCACTGTATTGCCCACGCTGGTCTCAAACTCCTGGCCTCAAGCGATCTTCCTGCCTCAGCCTCCCGATGTGCTGAGATCATCGGTGTGAGCCCCTGTGCCCGGACTCACAGCTCCTTATACATCCCAGAAAGCACTTTGCTTTATCCGGAGATGGGAGCCATTGAAGGTTCTTGAGCAGAGGAGTCACAAGAACCTTACAACCTTCTTGCAAAAAAGAAGACTTAACATTTTTGCAGTATGGCTCTTGCTGCTGTGTTGACAAATGGCCCCGGGGAAGGCAAAAGAGAGCAAGAGGCTCATCGAGGGTGGGGCAGCAGCGTTTGGGAAGTCTGGATTCTCAGTATATTCTGGAGCTACCGTGGGCAGGAATTGCTGATGGAGCAATTGTAGGATATGAGAGAGAAGAGCCAGGGGTGTCTCCGAAGCAGGGATTGTCCACTTCAGCATGGCTGATATTCTGGGGTGGATAATTCCATGTGGAGGGGGCCGTGCGATCCACTGTAGGACACTGGGCAGCAGCCTTGATCTCTGCCCACTAGATGCCAGCAGCACCCTTCCCAGTCGTGACAACCAAAATTGTGAATTGTCTCTAAACACTGTTCACCATCCCCTGGGAGATAAGGCCACCCCGAGTTGAGAATCTCCACTTTAAGGCTTTGGCCTGAACTCCTGAGAACAGGCAAGCCATTCATAAGATGAAACAGCAGCTATTTTATTTCTTTTATTTTCTCTTATCAAGTTTGTTATGAAGAAGAGGGATCATGGGCTCCGTTCTGGACATGTTAAATGTATGATACCCGTTAACAGGTAACCTCTAGGAGACAGGTCAGCACAGCGAAGGGCCTGCGAAGCGCCACATAGGAAAGATTTTAGGCTCTGTGAGCAGACCGTCTCTGTCACAACTACTCATGGAAACAACCAAGACAGTCTGTAAGGAACTGAGCGTGGCCGTGTGCCAATGAGACCTCATTTACGGACACTGAAATTTGAATTTCAGCTGACGCCCTTTTCAGCCTCAGCCCACCTGCACCCAGGTGAATAAACAGCCATGTTGCTCACACAAAGCCTGTTTGAGGGGGTCTCTTCATTCAAAGCGCTTGTTTTAACATTTGGGGCCATTTTCAGAAGAAAAAAAATTTTTTTAATTTCACCTAGTGCAATGGCTCATGCCTGTAATCTCAGCTCTTTGGGAGGCAGAGGCAGGTGGTCACCTGAGGTCAGGAGTTCGAGACCAGCATGGCCAACATGGTGAAACCCCATCTCTACTAAAAATACAAAAATTAGCCGGGCGTGATGGTGAGTGCCTGTAGTTCCAGTTACTCGGAAGGCTGAGGCAGGAGAATCATTTGAACCTGGGAGGTGGAGGTTACAGTGAGCTGAGATCATGTTACTGCACCCCAGCCTGGGTGACAGAGTGAGACTCCGTCTGAGAAAAAAACAATTGAATTCCATGTCATTTTCATGTGCCATGAAGTCATCTTCCTCCTGGATACTTTCTCAGTCATTAAAAACACATAAAACCCATTCTTAGCTGGATTTGGCTTGTGAGCTGTAGTTTGCTGACCATTGACGTAGGTTGTTAGAGATCTGATATATGAGGCCAGAGGCTGAGCTGGAGATATCAGTTTGAGGGGCATCACCATACAGATGG